GGGGGATTAGTTTTTTTAATTGAAATTTCACTTCGGAAGGATGAATAGCTTTTGGGGGCAAGGAAAGTGGGATTGGTGATGTAAGGAGTTCTTCTACTGTTACGGTGTGGGCAGGATGGGATTCCGGATGTGAAATAAATGTATTGGATAGGTGAATGGCGAACTCCTCAGCCTTATCTTCGTCAGATGCTGCCCAGGAGCCATCATCTCGTCGGAGGGGATGGGAAATGCGGTGAGGATTTAGGATTTTGGTTGTGGTTTTCCAAAGGGAATTGTCGCGAGAAGAGAGGGAGGATAGGTAGGAGTTGAAGGAATGTGATCTGAAGGTGGCTAATTCCAGTTTTAATTTTTTGCAGTAATAATTATAGGAGCAGCGGTCGGCAGGATGTCGGGTACGTTGCCACAATAATCTGGCACGGCGTTTGGTGTGGATTAGGTCAAGGAGGTGTTGGGGTAGAATGGTCTTTTTAGGAATTCTGGAGGAGTCTTTAGGGAAGGAGGCAGTCCAGGCGGCTTGTTGGATTGTGGTAGTAAAGGAATTTACGGCACTATCAAGGTCATCGGGAGTTTTGAGGGATATGTTGAGATCAATATTATCGGAGATTATTTGGCGGAAAAGGTCCCAGTTTACTGGGCCCCTAATGAATGACGGTGGAGAAGGTTTGGGAACAGGTTCAAGTGAAACATTAAGGATTAGAGGACTATGGTCAGAGGAAAGTTCATTTAGACGTGTAATGGAACAATTGAGGGGACTTAAGCCGCTGTGGATAAAGAAATCAAGAAGATCAGGATTACGGTTGGGATCTGTGGGCCAGTAGGTAGGAGAGTTGGGGGAAAGGAGGTGAAAACGTTGGGAATTGAGTGCAGACAGCAGGGTTCGGCCACGAGAATTCGTGGTTCTGGAACCCCATTGTTGGTGCTTGGCATTTAGGTCTGCACCCAAGATGAAGTGATGTCCTAAGGAGTCGAGGAGAGAACTGAATTGGGCATTGGATATGGATCGGTTAGGAGGGCAATACGCTGATGCAAGAGTGACCGGAAAGGAGAAGGTTTTTATCACGATAGCGGTGGACTGTAGGAAATCATGTATTGGTAATGGGAGTACGTGATGGGAGAGGGATTGGTGTACAATTACAGCAGTACCGGCATGTGCTTTTCCGTCAGGGTGGTCAGTACGATATGTCAGGTATTGTGGTATATTGAAGTGCTGTTTAGTGGTTAGTCGAGTTTCAGTAATTAGTGCCACATCAATGTTCTTGTCAAGTAGTAAAGTAGATAGTTCGTCTGTATGATTTCTAACACCATTCGCATTCCAAAGGAGAATGGATATGGGTTTAGGGATGTGAGTCATTTAAGGATTTTTCAAAGGAGGGATGAGGTGAGATACGAGATTCGTGAGGAGTGATATGAGTGGAGTAACAAGGGATTTGAAATCGGTGAGGAAAGATGCTAACAAACTTGTGAGATCTGTTGCATTTGAAGGAGGAGGAATATGAGGAATTTGTTGTTGGTGGTTAGGTATATTAGGATGAAGAGGATTTTGAGGTTGGGTTTGAGGTTGTTGTTGTGGCAGGGCTTGACATTTATCGGTTAAAGTCTTACCTCTAAGTAGTTGGGAGAATGATACATCATTGTTTACAATTCTGGAAGGCTCTCTCTCTCTTCTTGTTCTTAGTGCTTCATCTTGAATCCGGTTTTTCTGGTGTCTGGTTTTGAGATTCTTGTAAATTTGGCAGCCTTTGTAGTTGGCCGGGTGTCCCTCCAAGCATAGGGCACATACTGCTGGATCTTGTATAGGTTTGGTGCACTCTACAGATTTGTGCTGTTCACCGCACTTCACGCAACGCGGCAGATGGTGGCAATATGTCTTCGTGTGGCCATAGGTCTGACAATTATGGCACTGCACGATGTCTCTCTTGGGATATGGCTTCTCAACTTTCACCATTGTGTAGTATATTCTTGTGATATCATATATTTTTTCGATACCTGGTGATGGCTCCAAGTCCACGAAAAACAATGGTAGTGGGATCCTATTTCGTAATCCTGGCTGCTCCCTGTCCTCCTTCAAAACGTTTGTTACCTGGCGTACATTGAAACCAAGCGTCGTTAGTTCTTCTTTAATAACTTCAGTGGGGGTTGAGGAATGTAAATTTCTTATCACTACTCGTAAAGCTCTTTCCTGCCTCAGCTGGTAAGTGTGAAAATTCGCATTTGTTTCTGATAAGTACTTCACTATTTTTCGGTAGGCTTCTGCAGAATCAGGTGTTATTTTGGTGTCATTGGTCCTGTTAAGGCATGAATAACTGCCAGAGCAGATTTTATTTAGTTGGGTGCAGAACATCTGGAAATTTTTTATATTTTTCACAAATATCGGAGGAGGCTTTGGTTCTCTGGGTATTGCTGCAGACTCCATTACTTCTCTGTCATTTTGAAGCACTTGGTAGGGGTTTGGAGTAAAGAAAGGTGATTCTTCAATCGTTTCTTGTGCAGACGTACCTGGTTGGGGCTGAGGTTCTGGTTCTGAAGTGTTCATTTTGGTCACTGGAGGTATTTCTCGTAGGCAGCGACGAGTCCTTTGTTTGGCTGGTGAGCTAACTCCGTCTGACCGAGACCTCTTGGGCACCTTACTGGCCATCACTTGCTGATCATACCGCATATCATAAGAGAAAAATAAATAAATAAATAAAAAAAAAATTTTTTTTTTTTTTTTTTTCTTAAAATAACAAAAAAAAAAGATGCCAACAGTAAATATCAACTGCTCTGATATACACTTTAACTGTATCACGTGAATAATCAGAGAGATTCCGCTATAAAATTGGTAAAAACTGAGAGAGGAGTTGAGGAGACAACCTTCTCATCAGCTGATCCACTGCCTTTGTCCAATTGGTTAAA